GCTGTTAACATTACTCCTACCTGTCGTTTGTTGTTCAGTGTGACAACCTGTTTACATTACACCTACCTGTCGTTTGTTGTTCAGTGTGACAGAACCTGTTTACATTACTCCTACCTGTTGTTTGTTGTTCAGTGTGACAGAAGCTGTTAACATTACTCCTACCTATCGTTTGTTGTTCAGTGTGACAGCCGGTTTACATTACACCTCCCTGTCGTTTGTTGTTCAGTGGGACAACCTGTTTACATTACACCTACCTGTTGTTTGTTGTTCAGCGTGACAGAAGCTGTTTACATTTCTCCTACCTGTTGTTTGTTGTTCAGTGTGAAAGAAGATGTTTACATTACTCCTACCTGTCGTTTGTTGTTCAGTGGGACAACCTGTTTACATTACACCTACCTGTTGTTTGTTGTTCAGTGTGACAGAAGCTGTTTACATTACTCCTCCCTGTTGTTTGTTGTTCGGTGTGACAGAAGCTGTTTACATTACTTCTACCTGTTGTTTGTTGTTCAGTGTGAAAGAAGATGTTTACATTACTCCTACCTGATGTTTGTTGTTCAGTGTGACAGGAGCTGTTTACATTACTCCTACCTGTTGCTTGTTGTTCAGTGTGACAGAAGCGGTTTACATTACTCCTACCTGTTGTTTGTTTTTCAGTGTGACAGAAGCTGTTTACATGACTTCTACCTGTTGTTTGTTGTTCAGCGTGACAGAAGCTGTTTACATTGCTCCTACCTGTTGTTTGTTGTTCAGTGTGACAGAAGCTGTTTACATTACTCCTACCTGTTAGGAGTAGATGGAGACTCTATCAGGGACATCCTTATATCAGCTGGGATAGACAATGCTCAGAGAGACACGGTGAGTAAACTTTTCAATTGAGAACAATTAGTGTAGTATTAACTCAGATGGACATCATGAGCGTATTATTTACTCACATGGACACATTGAGTATATTTTTTACTCACATGGTAAGTGAGTGTAGTATTTACTCACATGGACACAGTAAGTTTATTATTTACTCACATGGTCACAGTGAGTGTATTAATTACCCACATGGACACAGTGAGTATTATTAACTCACATGGACACAGTGAG